GGAGTTTTGTCACTGATCACTCAAAGCTTTCACCACACCAGCGTCTGGGCTCTAAGAATTAGCCTGTAACAAAGCACGCCAGGCAGCGGGGAGATTTCCCTACAGAAAGGGAGCTCTTAGAGAGTTTCCTTTGCCCCAGCAAAGCCCAGACCCAGCCAGTCAACTCCAAAGTAGCCTCATTACATTCTGAGAAAATATCATTGTCGTGCTGCCATTTAAATGAGAAAACTAACCCCAGCTATAAGCTAGTCTAATCTTTCTAAATGGTGCACTGAAATTTGCCTAGTGGAAACATGCTTTGTTATAAAAACCCTGCACTTGGTGCATTTTCCTCGGATCTTTTTAGCAATTTAGATTCAAGCAAATTGCATCTCCTTGTCCTTCTCTGCCTCGCACCTGAAAGCAGCATGAAAAGAAGATAATGGAAGAAGCATTTTCTCTCTTTGCCAGTGACTTCATCTGTATTCAATGTGTATAAAGTCGCCAGTTAAGTATAACTCTATGGGGTTCCACTTCTGGCCTAGACTGTTGTCTTTGCTGCAGAGCAAGCCATTCAGATGACTATAATTACACTCTACTACCAGGGGGTCCAGCCTGAGCTCTTGAGCCACAACAGCTTTCGAGCAGATCTCTTGATGGGTAGCAGGGATGTGCTTGGCACGGGGGGTTCGGGATAATCTGATTCCCTGCTGCTGGAGGAAGCGCGTTAGCAGCTGCTGCTGAAGTTGACATTGCTGGCGAGCCCGAGAAGGCAGCTGTGCCCCCGCTCCCCTCCGTGCCCCAGTGACCTGCCGTGGCCTTGCAAGTGCCATCAACATCTCCCGCGCACCTCCCGAGCCCCTCCACCGCACAAAAGAGTGACACGACAAACGTTGTGCCCTGCAGGGAGGCTTATTCGAGAGGTTTCTGCTCTTAAAATATCCTCACTATGCAGCTCCGCGCAGGTGTGGTTTGGCGGTATTGCTAAGACAGCCTAATGGGCTAGTGCTGTTAGGCCAGCCTTGGCTTCGGGTGGCGGCCGTTTCTCTTGTGCCTTCTCTGCATCGCACCTGGGACCTTTGCTTTGGTCATGAGGCAGTGTAGGGGGCTCAACCCGTAGGAAATAATTCATTTCTGTAGAGATAAGCTCTTCTGCCTCCTTAGTTCCCTAAACCAGTTTCAACACGGGATCACAGAAGACCCAGGGCAAGCAGAAGTGAGAAAGCAGCAAGAGGCCAGAAAATCGCCTCTTTTGGCATCATTTAGTGCTGTAATTGAGCTCCACCATAAACAAAACAAACAAAAAACCCCACAGCTCTTTCTGTTTTTCAACCCAGATCCCTTTGGCCATCCAGTTTCTACTGTAGACGCACACAAAGAACAACAGGGGCAGTTTTAAGCAGCATTGTGGAAGTAGGGGCAGAAACCTGTTAGCACTTCTGGGAACTCTAACGTGGGTGATGCTGCTATTTCCTGTGGCTGTTAGCCAAATAAAGCTCTAACATAATACATCTTATTGGTCATATGTTCAAAGATGAGCATGCCAGGATCGGGGAGGAGAATCAAAGCTAATGGTTGTGCTGGTGATTTTATAGACGAGTCTGGAGTACGGCCCTTTTCTCCTTTCAGGCGCAAAGCCGCCCAAAGCTCTGGTTAGCTGCTTCCCTTTGCGCGTTTTTTCTCTCTCCAGGCACACACATTTGAAACCAGCTCAAGTCACATATTTAAAAATATATAAAAAAAAAAGGTGTCATCTACAAGTGGTGAAAGATTAATAGGGATGCAGGTCCAGAAACAGCAAGAGCCATGCATAGGCTCCAGCTTGGAGTAACTCCTTTCCAGAGGTGTCAAGAGCAAACAACGGCAAAGGGAGTTCATGCACTTCAGATTTCAGCAACGTAACATTCACCCACTTCTCGCAGATACCAGGCAGGTGAGTAACTCACCACCGCACCACGCCGCTCCTCCGGAGGCACCGGGCACCGCTCACAGGAGGAGAAATTGTGGCACTGCTTCAGGGCCAAACGTCAGGGAAGCCTTTTCATTCCCTCACATACAGCTCTGATCTAGCACTCTGACTGCATGGAACTGAAATGATAGGAGACGCGGGCTCCTTCCAAAATGCATTTCGCTTCCTGACAGAAACTATTGAGCGCCTTTGCACAGGAAAATATAAAATAGAAAATAAACATGTAAATATTCCATTTCAACACATCCACTGCATCAAAGCAGACCTGATGTTTTTAATTTCAGCTTTTTAAGGTTTTATTTTTATAAGTCAGTGAATTTATTTTATAGCTCCTGTTTACAAAAAGAATTTTAATGGAGTTATAAATTACATTTATCAAAATCAAAGAAATAGAATTGTAACTTCTCAAAAGGGGAAATAATGTAGATCTTTCATCTGCATCTGTGCACACACACACACATATACATAAAGTTAGTGACTACTGAACCACAGACCACAGGCAGAAGAGTAGAAACCACCCACAGCCAGATGTACCGCTGCAAATCTCGTATTTTAGAATATATTCCACGAGCATTTTGATGCTCGGGAAGGCACAAGTTCCCACGCTATTAAGAGCAACACGAATTCCTAGAAAGACCTTTACATATCTAAAAATCATAGAAGGTCCATTTCTGGTGGGAAGGTATGACCTTTATGAGGTCCAGACACAGTTTACCAGAGGGAAAACACAATTCTGAAACATGTCTCGAAACAAGGAAGTGAGAATAACAATGACACATCACTCCAAACTTTCCTAGAACCAAGAGGGCTGCAGAAACAACTCAATCCTTTTCCACTCAATTTTGCATAAATATAAATGAATGTTGTGCTGAGGGCGGGTGCACCGGGATGTGACTTGCGGAGCCATGTAGAGCCACTGCTTCATTATGACTCTGCAGCCCCGGGGGATATTCGAAGTCTGCAGTAGCAAAGTGTGGCAGATCACCGCTGCAGCAAAAGGCTTCAGTTCTCTGCTCCACACACAGCTGAAGAGGAAATTCAAAAAGTTTCTCTCAAGCTATAAAAATAAAGCAAAAGGGTTTTTTTCTACAGAATGGAGGGAAAAAAATCATTTTCAAAGTCTCTATTCAGCTACAAGTATTCGATATAAGACTAAATAGTTTGTTACCTCAGAATATCTCTCACTGATCTAGTAGAGCAAAGTTTGTTGATATTCAGGGTTGCAAACCCATCTGTTTACTCAGGGTTTTGTCTGTCAGCATAGTTTGAAGAGGTCGCTTTGAGAGATCAATTTTTTTTCCCGGGGTTTTCTTTAGAGCTACCACAATTTGTTATTGCGTCTGTTTAGAGGCTTTAATTTGTGGTTTTCAAGATTGCATAACTGCACAGAGAGGTGGTGAGAGGCCCACATGAAGAGTTCAAAATAAGTTTGACAATATAGTAAATATCTGCTCAGTAATTTTCCCTGGACTGAGAAGCATGGAATGCCAGAAAGTTATTAATCAGGCTAGTGTATGAACATGTCCTTTTAAAAGGAAGAGAGCATATATTTCCATCCAGATACTGCAACCCTGAATTCGCTTCACTTACTGTTGACACGCACTAAAGATGACCCACCGGGAGGGAGCTACAAAACAACTGCCTAGTCTGATTGCTCTAAAAGAGTCTATTCTGAACCAGATAAATAAAAATTAAAAGATTAATTTTCCCCTGTATTCGGGGCTCTCGTTGTAAGTTACATAGAAACGAACAGTTTTCTAGACGCCCATGAAGGGGCTAACTCTTGTTTTGTGGAGGTTGGAGGTAGAGACCCATGGCTCGGGAGCACGTGTCACGCTGGGCGGCAGGAGGCAGCCCTCGGTGACATGGGCTGTGGGGCCATGAAGTGCTCGGGATGGGGTGAGACTCGAGGCGGCTCCATGGAGGCTGCTGTGCAGCCTCGTCCGTCCCGGCCCTCACGCATCCGCACGGCGGACACCGCGTGGCCCCATCTGCTCTTGTCCGTGTGTCTTGTCCGCCACCTGTCCAGCCTAAGGGTTGTGCGAGAGGCACCTGAGGAACTCAAGTTTCACTGTGTTTATCTGAAACTTAAAGGAGGGGGGGGGGGGGGGGGGAATTGCTGCCTCCTCCGGGACCATTTCGGGGCGGATCTGCACCGGCTCACGGCGGCCTCGAGGCAGCCGGACCCCGCGGGTCCCTGCCCTCCGGCGCCCACCATTCCCCGCGGGACGGCAGCGCTCCACGGGGCGGGAGGAGCCCGGCTGCAGCCCACCGGCAGCTCGTCCCCACGGGCAGCCCCTTCCCGCGGGCCCGCGGCGGCCGCCTGCGCGGGGATGGCGTCGAGCGGGGGCCGCGGCCACATGTCCGGCATGAGGCCACGCTGCTGCCTCCCGCCTTCGCACGCCAGCAGCCTCCGTGACCCCGCGCAGCGCGGGGAGCTCCCCCGGGGCGAAGGTGTCTCTGGAGGGGAGGGCGGGAGCGCGCAGGCCGCCGCCG